CCCGTCTCTCTCCTCTCTCTCTCTCCCTCGGCTCCCACCGGCTCTGCAACTCCCCCGTCTCGGGCCGGGGAGACTTTATGAACTCCCCGTAGCATGCAGACAGAAGGATGGAGGGAGGTGGAGGAGTGAGGGAGGGAGGTGGCGTGCGGTGAGGGAGGGGGTGGGGGAGGAGCAGGAGAGAGGAGGAGGCGGCTGGGCGGAGGATAATTGAGGGAAGAGGGGCATGGGGGATGGAGGGAGGGAGATGAAGAGAGGGATGAGGATTGAGGGAGGAGGAGGAGGGGAGGAGGGGAGGAGGGATGAGGATTGAGGGAGGAGGAGGGGAGGATGGATGAGGAGGGAGGGATGAGGAGGGAGGGATGAGGGAGGGAGGAGGAGGGAGGGGGAGGGATGGAGGAGGGAGGAGGGAGGATGGAGGAGGAGGGAGGGATGAGGAGGGAGGGGGGAGGAGGGAGGGATAAGGAGGGAGGGGGGAGGAGGGAGGGATGAGGAGGAGGAAGGAGGGGGAAGGGATGGAGGAGGGAGGGGGGAGGAGGGAGGGGGGAGGAGGGAGGGATGAGGAGGGAGGAGGAGGAGGGAGGGGGGAGGGATGGAGGGGGGAGGAGGGAGGGATGAGGAGGGATGAGGAGGGAGGAGGATGGAGGAGGAGGGAGGGGGAGGAGGGAGGGATGAGGAGGGATGAGGAGGGAGGGAAGAGGGGGGAGGGAGGAGGGAGGAGGAGGGAGGGGGGAGGATGGAGGATGGAGGAGGAGGGAGGGATGAGGAGGGATGGAGGGAGGAGGTGGGAGGGAGGGGGCTGATGGAGGCTGCCGTGGGCTCCTCCCCATTGGCTTGACCACCGCGCTAGGCGGAGGGGTCTCGACAGTGCTGGGGGGGTGAAGTGAATGAAATCCACTGCTGGATGAGGGCCTCTGTGTATGTCTGCAGCAACCTGTAGCACCTGTTATGCACGCTGTGCTCGCCCACGCAACGACGATCCAGGCACCAGCCCCGCAATGGCTGCGCGCGATTCGTCTCGCATCGCCACGCGGTGCCTCTGAGCAGTGCTCGTGGCGAGGGGGACTTGTTAATCCACTGCTGGATGGACAGCGACACCACGCGCAGCAGCAGCATCATCATCAGCATCAGCACCATCGGCATCAGCACCATCAGCACCATCATCAGCATCAGCAGTCGGCTCAGGCTGTGCTGTTCCGCCTGCGAGTCGCGAGCCACTCCGAGCAGCCGCAGTCAGTCACTGCATGTCAACAATGCAGGTCTCATGCACAGACTCGAGATGTTAACTACCTCGCCTGGTATGCAGGAGGTCGCGGGTTCGATCCCAGACACTAACACCACGGTGGCTAGGAGATGTTAACTACCTCGCCTGGTATGCAGGAGGTCGCGGGTTCGATCCCAGACCCTAACACCACGGTGGCTAGGAGATGTTAACTACCTCGCCTGGTATGCAGGAGGTCGTGGGTTCGATCCCGACCCTGACGCCTGCTGCTGCTGCTGTGTATTGTGAGTTTGCGTGTCTCTCTCCCTCCCCGTGGTCGCGCGGATTTTTCTCCGGGCCCTCCGGTTTTTCTCTTCACATTAAAAATCATGCGATTTGGCTGCATTCAATTTAACCATTATAGGACACTTCGATGGCTATCATTTGCGGCTAGGTTGATTATAAAAAAAGAGATACGTGACACAGTGGGCCTTCACCCTGGGATAATAAAAATAGTAAAAAAGTAGTCAACTCCCACGACTGGCTTCAGAGCTGTAAACGCTTCAGACCTCCACCAGTCAAACCTGTAGTCACCCAATCACTCGATCAGCTCAACAGCCAGTCACTCAGCCACTAAGTCACGCCGTCAGTCAACCTCCCAGCCAATTAGTCACATTAACACCCACTCAGCCAGCCAGCTACTGACCCAGCCAGCTACTGACCCAGCCAGCTACTGACCCAGCCAGCTACTGTTCCAGCCACAGAGTCAGCCAACTACTTAGTCAGCTACTGACCCAGCCAGCTCCTGAGCCAGCTACTTAGCCAGCTACTGATCCAGCCAGCTACTGAGCCAGCTACTGACCCAGCCAGCTACTGAGCCAGCTACTGAGACAGCCAGCTACTGAGCCAGCTACTTAGCCAGCTACTGACCTAGCCAGCTACTGAGCCAGCTACTGAGCCAGCCAGCTACTGAGCCAGCTACTAATCCTGCCAGCTACTGATCCAGCTACTGAGCCAGCTACTGATCTAGCCAGCTACTGATCCAGCCACAGAGTCAGCCAACTATTGAGCCAACTACTGACCCAGTCAGCTACTGACCCAGCCAGCTACTGACCAAGCAAGCTACTGAGCCAGCTACTGAGCCAGCCAACTACTGAGCCAGCTACTGAGCCAGCCAGCAACTGACCCAGCCAACTACTGAGCCAACTACTGAGCCAGCTACTGAGCCAGCTACTGACCCAGCCACAGAGGCAGCCAGCTACTGAGCCAGCTACTGACCCAGCCAACTACTGAGCCAGCTACTGACCCAGCCAGCTACTGACCCAGCCAACTACTGAGCCAGCTACTGACCCAGCCAGCTACTGAGCCAGCTACTGACCCAGCCAGCTACTGCCCAGCCACAGAGGCAGCCAACTACTGAGCCAGATACTGAGCCAGCCAGCTACTGACCCAGCCAGCTACTGACCCAGCCAGCTACTGAGCCAGCTACTGACCCAGCCAGCTACTGACCCAGCCAGCTACTGAGCCAGCTACTGACCCAGCCAGCTACTGCCCAGCCACAGAGGCAGCCAACTACTGAGCCAGATACTGAGCCAGCCAGCTACTGACCCAGCAAGCTACTGACCCAGCCAGCTACTGACCCAGCCAGCTACTGACCCAGCCAGCAACTGAGCCAGTTACTGAGCCAGCTACTGGCCCAGCCAGCTACTGACCCAGCTACTGCCCAGCTACAGAGGCAGCTAACTACTGAGCCAGCTACTGACCCAGCCAACTACTGAGCCAGCTACTGACCCAGCAAGCTACTGACCCAGCCAGCTACTGAGCCAGCTACTGACCCAGTCAGCTACTCAGCCACCTAGCTGCTAACACAGCCAGCTACTGAGCCAGCTGATAACCCAGCCATCTACTGAATCAACCAGCTACTGAGCCAGCCATCTACTGAGCCAGCCAGCTACTGAGCCAGCCACACGGCGGCCACCGCATCCCCTCCCCCCGTCACCCACCCCGCTACCCACCGCTCGCCTCTCCCCGCCTGCCGGCCTCGACCGGACCGCGGCCGGCAGGCCGGGCGGGCGGCCGACCGGGCGGGCGGGCGGGCTGGGCCCCACGGGGGGGTGGTGGAGATGGCATCGCGCCCGGCACGAGCACAAACAACGATGACAATAACAAGGACAGCGATTACGACGACGACGATGATGACGACGATAACGGCCACCGCAATGATGACGACGATAAGGACGCACGGCCGTGATGGTGAACCGCGTGCCGCACGGGGCTGGCGGGGGCTGGGCAGGGTGGGGGGGGGCATCGATGGTGGCGCAGATAGCGCGGAGGAGCGGGCGAGGGCTCGGCGGGGACCCGCGGGGCTCCCTCCAGCACAAACACACGCGGGGAGCGGGGGGGGTCTCTTATCGGACCCCTGGATGACCCCGGCCGCCCCTTATCTGCTTCCTCCTGTCTCCACCCCTCCCCCCACACCCCAGCCCCCTCCCACCACCCCCTCTACCCCCACCTCCCCCTACGTCTCAGCGATGGCACAATTATCGATGGGCCTCATCTCTCTGGCCCTCGGATATCCCCCCCTCACTCAACAACCCCGCGTGTCTCTCCCCCCCCCTCTCTCTCTCTGCGTGTGTGGCCTTAATGAAAACAATATAAATATATAACAGTGAATCGGCGACGATTCGGCCAATTGCGATCTTCTTCAGAGACACACGGACAGAGAGGCTGAGTTGAGGAGGGCGAGATTGGACGAGGTGGGCAGGAGCAGCGGTCCCCAATCTTCTTGGCACCAGGGACCGGTTTCGTGGTAGACAATTTATTCACGGACCGGGGTGGGGGTCATCATTGGGTCTCTCCAGCGACGTTTGTTTATTACTCCTTGTGACTACTAGGGGTTAGAGCTTGTGGGCTTACTCATTGTGGGCTTACTCATCTTGGATACTAGGGGGTTAGAGCTTGTGGGCTTACTCATTGTGGCTACTAGGGGTTAGAGCTTGTGGGCTTACTCATTGTGGCTACTAGGGGTTAGAGCTTGTGGGCTTACTCATTGTGGGCTTACTCATTGTGGTTACTAGGGGTCAGCTTGTGGGCTTACTCATTGTGGCTACTAGGGGTTAGAGCTTGTGGGCTTACTCATTGTGGGCTTACTCATCGTGGGCTTACTCATTGTGGTTACGAGGGGTTAGAGCTTGTGAGCTTACTCATTGTGGGCTTACTCATTGTGGGCTTACTCATTGTGGGCTTACTCCTTGTGGTTACTAGGGGTTAGAGCTTGTGGGCTTACTCATTGTGGCTACTAGGGGTTAGAGCTTGTGGGCTTACTCATTGTGGCTACTAGGGGTTAGAGCTTGTGGGCTTACTCATTGTGGCTACTAGGGGTTAGAGCTTGTGGGCTTACTCCTTGTGGCAACTAGGGGTTAGAGCTTGTGGGCTTACTCATTGTGGCTACTAGGGGTTAGCTTGTGGGCTTACTCATTGTGGCTACTAGGGGGTTAGAGCTTGTGGGCTTACTCATTGTGGCTACTAGGGGTTAGAGCTTGTGGGCTTACTCATTGTGGCTACTAGGGGTTAGCTTGTGGGCTTACTCATTGTGGCTACTAGGGGTTAGAGCTTGTGGGCTTTCTTATTGTGGGCTTACTCATTGTGGCTACTAGGGGTTAGCTTGTGGGCTTACTCATTGTGGCTACTAGGCGTTAGAGCTTGTGGGGTTACTCATTGTGGGCTTACTCATTGTGGCTACTAGGGGTCAGCTTGTGGGCTTACTCATTGTGGGCTTATTCATCTTGGATACTAGGGGGTTAGAGCTTGTGGGCTTACTCATTGTGGCTACTAGGGGTTAGAGCTTGTGGGCTTACTCATTGTGGCTACTAGGGGTTAGAGCTTGTGGGCTTACTCATTGTGGCTACTAGGGGGTAGAGCTTGTGGGCTTACTCATTGTGGCTACTAGGGGTTAGAGCTTGTGGGCTTTCT